GACTTCCCTATTACTTTAATTCTAAGGGTTTGAGTCTGGTTTTCTCTCTGCTTCAAATAAGCCACCCCCCCAAGACCTTTGCTAACACAAACCACATGCAGTGACCTAAGATATGCACAATATTTAAAAATAAAACCTCATTTTGCACAGTGAGAGGCGCTAAAAACAGCTTGCTGTCCCGACAGCAGGTGCTCACGTCATTGTATCTCCGTCAAACATACACAGAGAAAGCCAGGATCAGACTGAGCAGACTTATATGGAGCCCAGGGGGCAATCTGAGACCCACTTGGTTTGTCTCTATTTTAGGGTACTGACATGGATAGCACAAGCTTCTGTTTATCATTCCACTCACCATGCCACCGTGCACCTCTTTTCCAGACACACATCACCAACAATCACCAAAAACAGGAATACAAGTAGACCTTTTTATCTATTTATTTTTTTTATCCCACATTAAACTAAACACTAGCTTTGGCCTTACACTTCTAAAACAGATGTACTATGTATGAATAGAAAGATCTGTTTTTACTGCTATGGTGTTAAGGATGACTGCTGAACCAGATTTAAATATAAACATGACTCTAAAAATTACTGCAATGTCATGATGGGGACTAGAAAAACATTTCTTTGTTATTAGAACATAATCTTTTCACTGCGCCCTGATATTGCACTGAAAAAAACAATCTAACAAGTAAAAATTTGTTAAATTAAGTGTTTTTACCCTTGATTTGAGTAGGTAAATGAGGTAGTTTGCCAATGGAATGAGTATTTTTACTCTTAAAATAAGATAATTAGATATTATGCACTTGAAATAAGACAAACCAATTTTGTTTTCTTATTATATGTCTAAATTATCTCGTTCCACTGGCAAAATGTCTCTTTTACCCCTTCAATCCAAGAACAAATGCACTTATTTTAAGAAAAAATTACTTGTCTAGATGTCGATTTTTTCTAGTTTATTATATTTCATGAGCTGCATATTTGTCCTCTATTTACAAATGTCTTGGTTATAAGTCTATTAATAATCAACAGATGCGTTTTTGTTTATCTTTAAAGGTTGGTACGGAAGCGTATGAGTTTAATGTTTAGATTTTATTTTAGTTTAGATGGAGGATTAGAGTCAAATTTGTTAAATAAAAGCGGAGAGGAGTTTAGTGGTTAATGTTAGTAGACACGGATCACGTTTTATAATCATCCTCTCACCGACTTCGTAGAGTTTTCTCCATTTTCACTTTGTTCAGTTCTCATTGCAGATTAAAATAAAAAAATCTGAATTTATCCTCGATCTTTTCCCCCAAAATACAATCTCTCTTTCTCTCCCACTGGTGGTCAAATCGGCTCCATCTGTTACGCACCGAGAGCGAGCAGCCAGCTGCGGGCGCGCGTGGTCACTTTCCTTAGAGCGCGCGCAGGGAGTGGCCACGCGCGCTGACTAACCTAAACCAATAAGCAGAAAGTGGTCTAATTTAGTCGAATGTTGAGGAAACTTCAAGAACCGTCAAAATATTGTAATTTTTTGCTACACTTTAAGATTTTGTAACCCTAAACAAATTCTAATATAAAACAAATATAACCGAGGAAAATACAAACAGTAGACCAGCTAAAATATTTCACTTCATAAAGCTGGTCTTAAAAATCAC